ATATCCAAGTAACGTCTTCTTATGAGCAACGACTTGAAGACACAAACTAAACTGTTCATAATTTATTATTTATGGTACACCAGCATTCAAAACATGTAGGCAAATCACTGTCCCCCACTTTTAAAACAAAGTGGCGCGTGTATGACATCATCCTTGCGCCGGCTACCATTCATTCTTCCTGTCCACTGAACTGCTGCTAGTTTTACTCACATGCCTGGAAGATATCTAGTGCTACTAACACAGATGATCTCGCTCTCCATATGGAATTGAACGATTCAGATTAGCTAGAATGAATAGAAGGGATACCAGCCGGCATTCGTAAAATTCGTAAAATCCGCTTGCTGCTTTGTTTTTAAAAGATATTTATATAAAAAATATAACCGCGTATGTCTGGGGGACAGTGATTTGACTACATGTTCTGAATGCTGGCGTACCATAAAGAATAAATTATGAACAGTTTAGTTTGTGTCTTCAACTCGTTGCCCATAGAAAGACGTTACTTGGACATAACCGGAATATCTTCAGAATGGCTCCAAATGGCTCAAAACTAATATGGGTGAGTAGAACATGATGTAATAACGTAAAATCAAGGGCCAAATGTAAAAAAAAAAAAACGAAATTCCCCTTTAAGAAGAAACCCAGAATTTGGTCAATGACAGATGTTCAGCTCCATTGTTTCCTGTCAGTTTTCACCAGGTTTGGTCTCACTGTATTTTGGCCAATTCCTCCCTCCATCTCCTCTAGAGTAGAGATATTTTGGGCTTGAGCAGGGCAACACATTTCATCTCCCTCCATAAATTTCATGCAGGGTTGAGGCCTGGGGGACCGTTTAGCCAACCCCAGGACCTTTGCTGCTTGAGCAGTGTGTTTGAAATCATTGTGATGCTAGAAGACCATCCAACTTCCATCCTCAATGCTCTCATTGATGCAAGGAGGTTTGGGCCTAAAATTTCACCATTATTGGCCCTGATTCAGGGTTTCTGCGGGTCATTAAAAATAATTAAAAGTCATTAAATTATAATTTTTTTAATTAAAGCCTTAATTGGCATTAAAATGATTAAATTTGATAATTTTGGCATTAAAATGCTTCGGAAAAGAAGCTTGAGGCGGGGAAAAGGCTAGAGAATGGGGAAAATGCTCATTTGAACCAAAGTGGCGGGAAAACGAGGAACTTGGGACATGGCTGCAGCCTGTCCATGGTGAAGATGCTGAAGGGCATTAAAAGAACATTATTGGTTGTATTTACTCATCAGCTGACTGCAGATATTTGATGGGATTTTTTTTCTTGGTCATTTCTATCATAAAGTTCCTATAAGATTAATGTCTGTTAGTTGTTTTATTGTGATAAAATGTTAAAGTAAATGTAAAACTTCAGTTTTTTGATTTGACCAGATGATCGACCAGCCTGTATAGCCATTATTTTTCCCCCCGAAAGGTTCAGACTCCACCACTTGGATACATCATCAGATCCTCCTGCTTCACATCTTTCATTTCAGATCATTTTGTTTTCTGTCTGAAGGGTCTCGCTGTTCTATACTTTGAAGAAGCAATAAATATGAAATGTTTGCGCACAATGACGTTAAGAACATCCCAGCGGGATTTCAGAGAGAAATCAAGAAGGGCGTCTATAAGCGGCAGCCCCCGGCCTGCTTAGTCATAGTCCCTGTTTGTTGAAAATGGAACCAGCTGTTGGTGTCTTCTCCCTCTCTGATCACAGACGTGTGCACAGATGGAGAAGCACTGTTACTTCTTGTTATGCAGCCCACAGATCATCACTACAGAAAGAAAGTCAAGTTTGATTTTCACTGATTTTTTATTTTGTCTGATATTGAGTAGAACAAACATCAGACAGCAGTCTAAGTGCAGTTTCTATAAACATCAGCTGTAAATTATGTCTTTTTGAAGGAAAGGTATTAGTAAATATGATATTTTCTGTCTAGGCTTATGTGATAAAGGGTTTAATTATATGATTTAGACTGATTTATGCTCGTTTTTGGTGACAGCTAAATTAAAGTGTTCCTGCAAACGTTTGTAAGATATTTCAGCCACAAATATAACCAAAAAAATAACAATGCAGTAGATTAGACACCCCCGAAAAATACATATCATTACTTTACTCTATATTTATTAATACACATAAAGTGGAATAATTATAATTGTTTTCAAAATAATAATTTTTAAGGGATTTTCAATAACTTTTTAATGGAACATTTTATTATTTAATTCATCGTTGTAAATGCATGTTTATTTACAAATATTGCATTTTATTTGATTGTGGGTGTTACAATGTATTGCTTTATTTTATATTGATCAGATAAATATATAAAACATGTGATTAACTGGATGAATCATGATAAACTGGTAATTAAAATAATCATTAACTAATTGGGGAATCGAATCCTTAACAGATTAATGGCAGACAGAATCTAAAGCAAATAACCTACTTGCACTACTAATTTAGACTCAACTGTAAATATAAACTATAAACATAAAATATCTACAATATATATATATATTTTTTTTTATTTGGTGGTCTGGCTGCTGACTCCCTGTTAGGGCTGTCTGTGGTCTTAGTTGCATGAACTTAGATGTGTCTTAATTTTCTCCACCCTGCAAAACTGGTCTAAAATTGAATAAAACATTCTTAAAACAAGTGTAAATGCCCTTAGTTTAAGCTGGAAAATCAGATGATCTGCTAATGGAATGAGTATTTAAGTCTTTAAATGAAAATAATAAGATATTATGCACTTTCAATAAAATATTGGAGTTGTTATTTTTTCTTATTTTCAACATAAATCTTCTAAATTGATTTGCAAATTGTTACTTACCTGCTTAAAGCAAGCAAAGACTTAAACATATGTTTTTGCACTGCATCCCTTAAGGTTAAGAGTTCTTAACAGCCCTGAGGCAAAACTAATTCACCTGCAAATATGAAACCTAAGTAAGTATTTTTGTTGTTGTTGTTGTTGAAATAAGTCTATTCCCCTTGACGAATGGAATAATTTAATTTATGTTTAAAATTATAAACACTTCCATTATGTTATTTCAAGTCCATAACATCTAATTATAAAATACTCCTTCCATTGGCAAGTTTTATGATTTTACCTGCTCAAATTAAGGGCAAATAAACTTAATTAAAATGGTTTTTACATCTTTTCAGATCAGTTTTTGCAGTAAAGACTCTTAAGAGACAGTGATAGTACCATAACCTGGATTGTCATGAGATCTGACTTTAGATTTAGGCAACTTGTATTTTCATTTTGTATACAGAGTATACAAAATGAAATTTCATCCTGTTTTGTACAGTGAGCAACAGCTTAGCAGTGAAATGAACATTTTCCTCCCATAAAGTGCAGCAGTAATCAAACGTAAACAGAATCTGATCTGAGTTTTCAGTCTCACAAGAAATGCATCTTGAAAACCTCCCGCTAATACGTCCGTTTCGTAACATCAGCGTGTCGGACCAATGACATGCCAGCAGGTTTTTTTTGGGGCGGGACAAGTAGGAATGACGATGTTCAGAAGGGCCTTCCAAGGGCATTACGAACATGGCTACACTGGTGGAATCACCTGTCCAAATTAAAAATTGACAATTTTAGCTAAAATAGCAACAATCTCTTGTTTAAAAAAGGAGCAGAGAGAAACACTTTGATTAATCAGCTTACTCCGCTAGTTGTGAAAACACTCAAGAAGCTGCAGATGAGTCTTATTGTGATCACCGTGTCCGTTGATGGCTCTCATGGACGACCAATTTGCCAAAGCTATTGAGCCTGAAACGTCACAATTCGCTGCTACGATTGGCTGAAAGCGTTTTATTGAAGGCGGGTACTAGCTGGCACGTCACCCAATCAGCTGGAAGTATTGTACTAAACGTCCCTCCTTTTCACAGACAGACTGAACGGCAGCCATTACAGATTGATAACGTAGAACTCAACTCAGTTCTACACATCAATCTGGCTACCACCAGGTTAATAGTGCTCATTCCTTCATCATAGTCTTATGAAGAACCTGTTCTAGTGTTTTCTTTTACCCCATTTATACTACCCTTGAAAAACCGTGCCGAGACCGGTCCAAACTCAGTGACTGAGATAGCTTATCATGGGTAAATGGAAAGCAAACTGAACTGAACCGAGCTAGACACAACCGAACCGCACTAACTGCAGACCAGTTCCAGAGGTGGGCTCGGCTCGGTTTTTCCCTGGCTTGGTTCTCTATTAACAAGAGTGCATGAGCAGAACGTGTCATCTCCGTCTGGCTGCACATCCCAATTCACACTCCATTCCAGTAGTTGGCGGTAATGCCCCTCCGGAAGTTGCTTGCCAACCAACACAAAACAGAAGAAGAACAACTATAAACAACAATCGAAATCTTCTTCTTCTTCACAACTTTTGGTGCATTACCGCCACCAACTGCTTGATTTCCTCCTTCAATACTGGCAGTAATACCGTAGATCATCACTAGGAGGCGAGGAGTCGAGGAACCAAGATAGCGTGATGTGTAAACGGTCGTCAGAACCAAGCTAGGCCTGGTTAACTGATCCGAGCTCGGACCGGTCTCGGCATGGATCGGTTTTTAAAGGGTAGTGTAAATGGGGTAATAGTGTTTTCTGTACCAGACAACATGTCGATCTAGAGGCTGTTTCGCTTTTAAATAACTTATCTGCTTTGAAGCAACAAAAAAAGGCGGTTGTGATTTGTTTTTTTTTCATACTTTCAGCACTTTCCTTTTACTTTGTATATTATTTGCTTTTCATAATACAAAGTGTTTTGGCAAAGAAACAGGCAAATATTTTGTAATTAGCCTGAGTGGTGTAAACCCCCCCCCCCCCCATGCCCAGTCTGGAAGCTGTGTGCTGAAAACAGGAATAATAATAAAAAACCAGAGGATGCTTCCTTAAAGTGCTTACAGCTGCAGATCCTTATGTGTCCTTGTTTTTGTCTGTAGACGGTTATTCCTGCCCCCTCATCAGTGCTCTAAAAGGTTTCTTTGTGCTCCTGCAGGGCAACTCCAACAACATAGGCACCGTCGACATCTCTGTGGGCTTCGTTGGTTTGGAAAGCTACATCGAAGCGCCTGCCATCTTTTTAACAGCTCTCAGCACTTACGCAGGTCCCCTCCTCTGGGCCTGTCACCTCGTCTGCTACCTGAGCTCAGAGAGAGAAAGGTAAGTGTCACTAAGTTGATAAGTGGAGGAGCTTCATCGCTTATCGCAGCCTGAGGGTTTTCAGGAATGAAGGTGATAGCGTATAAACTTACCACTCAGCTTAATTTGCAACCACATCTCATTTTAAAAAGGAAGGTTATTTGAGTTACTGTAAATATTAGAAAATTAATGAGTATTTTCTATTTTTTTAGTTGTTTTGGTGGGAGATTGATTCTGTCTCTGAATCAGCTCAAAGGTTCTGATGTTTTCTCCCCAACCTCTGATGCAAACGGCTTTTATTAAATCCAGAATTCTGATGTTTATTGCTGAAATCTTCTACTCTCAGTAGATAAGGCATGAAGCATCATATTGACTGCAGAACTTTTCTTCACATGAATCTGAGTTAAGTTCCAGGTTTGCAGCTTTTACTGACACCATCCATGTTTTTTTAAGGTTTCTCTGTTCTGCTAATCTGAGATCTGTTGTCCAGTTTCCTCTGGAAAACCAATCACTTTCTCAAAGTCTGGAGCTAATCTTTTCTTTCCATTATTGTTCCAATCAGAGAACACATTTTTTTTATTTGAATTGAAATTCCTATAGAAATTTCAAACAAAAAAATGGAATCCAAAAATGAAACTGAACAACGTACAAAATAAGCGTTTAACTCTGATAACTCCGAATGCATAAAAATTACACCAATATAGACATGTTAGTCATTGTTGGAAAGCTTAGATTCTACAAAATTTAACCACCAAGTTGATTTTATGGACATAGCGAGCACCAAAGCACAATTAACAGCATGTCAAAATGTAAAGATGACAAAGCAGCCACAACAAGCAAGCATGTCTTAATTGCTGCTGTTCAAAAAAGAACTATTATTTTCCAGAATAAAAAAAACAACTTTGAGTCATGTTTGAACTGATGCAGTGTTTGTTTTACTCACCCAAGTTTCATGTGTATTTTTAGAAACTAGAAGGTGTTAGCTTTCAAATAATGTATCTGTAATTTGGGCATACTGTTCCTAAGTTATTTGCTTTTCCACTTGGGTATGCAGAATAGGCGAGAATTTCCCAAAATGAGGTGGATGTTAAGAGGATAAAAAAAAAAAAAAAAAAAAAAAATCCAAATATTTTTTGTTTTTCTAATCTTTTCTGTTACAAATTTTATATTTGAAAATATTTTCAGAGTTCTTTTTTTTTAGCTTAAGTTTTATGAGATGTTTTCTTTTTAAATTTACTTTTAAAGATGACATTAGCTTCCTCTGGAGGGAGGAGCAAAGACGCATTTCTATTCGTCTGCTGAATGTTAGCAACAACGTTTTTATTTGTGTTTGAATTGGGTTTCAAGTGAAGCGAATGTGATCTGCAAAACACAATATGAAAAGAATAAAATTCTTAAACTCAGTCTGAAAAAACAAAATTTGAAAATGATTTTTAAAAATGAATTGTTGATAAGAGAAAATCTAAAAAAAGAAAATCTGAAAAAAAAAATAACTTTTTGATTGCATTTTTATTTTAATTTGTTTAGTGTTCTTTGCTGCAACAGAAATAGAACATAATTCACTGCATAAAAAAGCGGTAGATTCTAATGGAAGGAAGTTTGTGTCATTTTTGTCTCTTTAAGTTGGTGGTAATTTATTTTTGATGTGAAATTAAACTTTATTGATCTCACATTGGAGAAATTAACTCTCTGCATTTAACCCATCCCTTTGGGGAGCAGTGGGCTGCCATTGTGCAGCACCCGGGGAGCATTGTGGGGTTAACTGTCTTCCTCAGAGACTCAGAAAGGAGGCAGCGGGATTCAAACCGGTTACTTGCAACCTTCTCAGAGCACTACTCTAACCGCTAGGCCAACACTCCTTTCTGGGTATTGCTGAAGTTCCTTTTATAGACAACAGTAAAAAAAATAATTACAGTTAGTGTGATTGGCTTTTATTTTCTTTGAAACCTTTAATTAAAGGATCCTTTAACCAAAATGCATCTGTATGTTTTAGATTAGTTACTAATTTGCCTGGATATTGTCTTATAAAAACTTGCCTGTTTAAAATCTATCAGAGTCGTTTCACATTTTGAACCCTTTGACTGTTTCACCAGCTGCTTACTTTCATGCTCAGTCTGTTCTACTTGTCGCCACAAAAAGCTTCAGGTATAATCCCACCCCCTCAAAGTAATTTAATCTGAATTGTCTCGCCTTTAGGAAACTTCTCAACAATATTTGAAGTCTAATATCTTCCTCTTCAACCTGATTGGGTTTGTCGTCTCGCCTTGTCAGCCGTGTCGATTGTAACAAAGAAAATGCCTCGTTGTGCTTTCTTTAGCAACCATCACCTGCTGTGTGTTTGTCAGTTAAAAAGTAGTCTGACTGCTGAGAAGAGATGGTTCGTCAAATTATCACTAACAAGCCGTCAGATTTCCAGCTAATTAAAGGTACAGTTGATGTTTTGTATATGGTGCAGTATGAGTGTAATTACCTCCAGCAATAATACCATAGATTCAGGTGTATGTAACAATATAACTGCTTTCCTGTAAAGCTGCATATTACCTATAAGACTTGTTGCTATTATAAACCTATCATTTAGCAGTAAATCTTAACAAACATCCCCTTTAGTAGAGGTATTCAACTCTAGTCCTCGAGGTCGGCCACATAGGTGTCTGCTTAATCTGAATTTATCAAATTCTAGTTGCTAGAGCCTCTTCCTTCAGCTTCTGTTGGGTCAACAGTAAGAAGACTCTTGGGTGCAAAAGGAAGTCCAGACTGCAAACTGGATCTAAACAGCTTTCAGCCTACAGAGATTACACCATGGAAACATACCTCAATGACGGGGGGGGGGGGCAAATTTAGACTACACTGATCGAAAAAAAAACTACAAAAGTTACACAAATATAAATGATATTTTTTTATTTCAATTCAATTCAGTTTATTTCACAACACAAGTCATCTCAAGGCATTTTACAGTTCACCAGATCATACAGTCAAACTGATTCACAGTTTTCTATCTAAGAAAAACCAGTTGATTGCATCGGCATTGACTCACATGCAATCCCTCACACTAAGCATGCTTGTAGCGACAGTGGAGAGGAAAAACACCCTTGTAACAGAAAGAAACCACCACCAGAACCAGGCTCAGTGTGAGCGGCCATCTGCTGAGGCCGACTTGGGTTCAAGGAGAGAGAAGCAGAGAAACAACAAGCAGCTGTAAAGGGCGGCTCCATCCGGGAAACACACAGCCAGGCGGACGAGCTCTGAGCCAGCTCCCATGTCAGAGGATGAAGAGGGAACATCCAGTCAGCCACAGCCAGAGAAACAGGACTACACTGGAAAACAGGCCAATAAATAAAGGTGTTGATGGCAGCAGCACAGCTGATATTTATCTCCAGGATGGTGTTTTATAAGTTATCCCTTATAAAACTCTAAACAAGATGTGAAATGAAAATTTTTCACACTGAGTCGACTGCAAAAGTATTTCTGTTCATCTCTGTGAGGTGTCCTATGCCTAAAGGTCCTGTTGCGCGAAGGATCATGGGATTCCCTATAGCTCCTCGTGAGGCTTTAAAGGCACACTATGCAACATTTTTCAGTTAATTAATGTGTTCCATAACGTTTTGGATGATTAAATGAGTCATTTCAGGTTGAACAAAGGTTTTCTCGGCCGCCCTGGTGGTCTGTGGGGGAAAAACCGCACTTGCAATTGCAGGAGCCCTCGGCCCGCACCCACAGACTCAGAAGTCTCGCGAGAGTCGGTCTTGCTTTACGGTGAGAACTGCTACACGCCCCCAGTTAAAAGCATGCTCGTTGCTAGCACAGTGGCAATCTTTGTGCAGGTATCATGCCGGAACCAGCGTGAAAACAGCGAAAGCCCATGTCGGAGCAGGCAAGAAAGAGGAAAAGGGCTCCGGACAGAGAGAGGAGTCTTACACGGGTGAACATCGGGCAAGCTTTTTCCGAATGGCGAGAGCTAAAATAAAAAGAAGGCTGCAAGGCTGACGCGGACCTCGCGTTTCTGCTGATACGATTGTAAGTAACATTGGAATGGTTTCTCTCGCTCTGTGTGCATGTTCATACTTTCACTGTGTTAGTCATTCGTTGCGTTTGCCTGTCTGCTAAGCTCAAAACAACCGCGCCTGGCTTGACGGAGAAACCAGGAGAACAGCTGTGCATATTTACGACAGTGCACTTTTACTTTCGCCCTCTGGGGGGAGCCTCGCTGGAAAATCAACACCGGTTGCATAGTGTACCTTTAAAGGAGCTATTATGGGACGGATAACTCTGTCCTTACTTCCTGCGCTATTCGGACAGCACTTCTTACAAAATCTTCTTAATGACTTGATTATTTGACTCAAGTTAAATCAGAGACCAGAGATGGGTAGTAACTAGTTACATTTACTTGAGTAACATTTTGCAAAAAATGTACTTTAAGGAGTAGTTTTACAGCGCCATACTTACTTTTAGTGGAGTAATATTCTTGTAAAGTATCGCTACTCCTACTTGAGTAAAATCTCTGACTCATCCGTCCTGTGTGAGTAATTTGAACTGTTCCTCGATCATGTAAATATACAGTAAACATCAGATATTAACAGTGGAAATTCATTTCCAGTCCTAACTTATACACATTTCTCACTGTAAGGATTGGTTTTCTAAGTTTTATGCAAAAAAATATTTGTTAAAATTATTTCTTCTGCATGAATTTGTTATTTTATATTCATGACATTTATTAGTATTTTTTTATGCATTTGAGTTTTTAAAATGCCAGAAGTTACTCACAAAGTCTGTCAGTCGACATCATTTTAAAACATTAAATCAGACATTAGTTTACTTTCATTTCAGTCACTTCTTGTATGACTGCTTTTTACTTGCTGCCCTTTAATACATTTTCTGGGTACTCTACCCACCCCAGGTAGAGACACATCTATGTTGTGGAGGGCAGTGGACCTTAGGGACTGGAATGAGGGAGGTGTGCAAGGCACATGGGAACAGATGTCCTTAGCTGACTCCTCTCGAGGTGGAGGAGGAGCAGCTCTACT